ATTATTTTACTATCAAAAGACCAAGTTGAACGTTACTATACTCCCGTCAAACGAAATTTGTTGGGGTATACTGAAATCAGCTGGTGGTCTGTCGGGCGGTTGTTTGGTCGGTTGGTTTCGCGGTCCGTTGCAGATTTTTTGTCCGGGACATAACTCGGAATATACAACAGATATCAACTTCATATTTTGTAGAAGTGCGGTGCAGAACAACCGTAACGCTCTCTTCACTAATTTGGAGTTATTGCCCTTTGTTTTTTGTGGTTTTTTTTTACTCTTTGAACTTTGTTCGAGACAACACACGAGAACTATAAAGGGTATCAACTTTATGCTATGTAGGTAGTTGTATCATAGTTTGGGTACCTTTCTGTTGAAAAAGTGTCAGAGTTAAATCGTATACATATACATGCACAGTGCGGTAACTTGAGTGCGGGTATCAGTTACCCGCACTCCAGATAATGCCCGTGGATTGGTTCATTTTTGCCGGGGTTTACATATTGTGACGGCAGAGAAAGGGAAAGGGGCAGAACTATCATATTCAAATGCTCGTTCATTGGTTATTTTTTTCTGGGGTTTCATATTATGACAACAGGGAAGTGTTGTCATGTTTGACTATGATACAAAAGAGAAAGAACACCAAAACACTCGGCAATCTGATTTATACTCGGGGGCTACGCCCCCTCGTACAAATCAGATAGCCTCGTGTTTCGGTGCTCTTTCTATTACATAGATCTGAATAAGTAGAATTTCAGTGCATAAGGACCGCAACCCGCCCTTCTAAAATTATTTGGAGGTATTGCCTCTTAAACTTTAAACTTTGTTCAGGCCATAACTTGAGAAATATAATTGGTGTCAATTTTAAAATTTGAAATGTTTTTATATAGGAAGATCATGGTATTTGCTTTACGCTTATTATTATTATTATTATTATTATTATTATTATTATTATTATTATTATTATTATTATTATTATTATTGAGTCGCCTCTACGGAGTAAAAGTGATAGCGACATATAAGGATCATTCTCTGTCGTCCGTTCCTCACAAAAAGTGTCCGAACTACTCCTCAAAAACTACTTTACAGGAATGATAAATACCAAATCTAGTTGTGCATATCTTCGGCATTTTCCGGTTCAATGATTTATGAGTTATAGTCCTTTTAAAGACCTTTCATTTTTATAATTTGTCCGGACTACTCCTCTTATACTACTACTGTAATTTCAATAAAACTTTATAGGACTGATCTGTTACTCAAGTTCTTGTGCTTATTACATAGGTTTTTGTTAGGTTGAATGACTTTTTGCTGAGTTACGGCGACCATGAGGCTACACATCTAATCACTGACCGCTCTTGATATTAATCATTTATTTATTTATTATTATTATTTGGATATATTTATTTATTTACCTTTGATTATTATCACTTTGTATTTATCACTTTGATTATTACTACTATTATCATCAATTATTATTATTATTATTATTATTATTATTATTATTATTATTATTATTATTATTATTATTATTGAAAAATAGTACTGTATCTCACAAAGTAAAAGAAAAATTGTTGTAAATAAACTTTACTGCAAACACAATCCCGTTTGACCGGGCAATACATACATACATATACTTGCTTTATTGATACATGTATCTCTACCTTTAATCTGCAACAACAAGCAACAGGAGATAATCTCAGGATAATCAGTTTCACTTACCTGTTCCGTCTATGAACAGGCTCAATCAAACCGAGCCTCCAACATTTCAATTTTGCCCATTGGGCTTTCTTTAAGGATTCAAATTTCTCTCTATTTTAGTTTTTTATTTAGGATAAAATTGTGCTTACCTTGTACCACATGGCTGCACTTTAAGTTCATCTCTCATTCTTAAGCACATACCAGGCATATAATTCTGGTATTTATCAGGGGCTCTCTCGGGGTAAACGTTTTTCCAACCAGGGGCACAAACCTGAAAAGATGGGTTTTGTAAGTACGTTTAATCTTTTTCGAAGCTGTTAAGGTGACTGCCTTTCAACTAAGCCTTACTTGGCCACGACAATGTTTCTTAATATGATACCAGTGCTGGTTGGTTCCAGGAAGCGAACTCGAAAGTGATTAATATAAGTTGCAAGGACTTGTTCGCAATCGAGCTAAAATAAATATGTTTAAACTAAACTTATCTCCGCATTTACAATGTGATTAATACGGATAATTAATTTGAAATGATATCAAGACTGGCTTTGGAGAGCATATACATCACGGATTACTATGTCACACGTCCATACAGTCACACATGAGATATGTTATGTTATCACGTATGTTGCACACAGCACAAATATTAACATTTTCACATTTGCTGTGACGTATATGTTCGTGTTGAGGTTTTCAAAAGATATCGAATCATATTTGTCATCTCTACTTTATTTTGTATACAAGCGCATATTTCACATTTCTCAATATCAATGCATTCAACTGACGCTGTAAGTCATTTTTATCTTACTGGTGGTATTTTGGCATGGATAAGCATTACGTTTCAAATCTTTGTTGACCCCATATTTAACCAACGTAAGACCCAAAGATGTATTTGCTCATAACGTAGTCTATTCGTATTTAATCAATATCCCTCAAACACAGATTAAGGGTTAGAGTCGATGACTTAGCATCCAGTTACCTCTCCGGCTTGGGTTCGATCCCCGGGAGATGCTTTGGTAGTTCAGCACGGAGGAAGGTAGTCTGGTACTGATGTAACTCTCCAGGAACCATGGTTAGGATCTACCCGCCTATATGAGTGAAATACTGTTGGGAAAAGGCTTAAAATGAAACAAACAAACAAACAAAAGACAATAAAAGGTGCATATGTTTTGTTCTGTTATTCCCGTAGGAATCTTTTCCGAATGGCCGGCATCCCTTTAGAACACGTATAAAAATCATTAAAGTGATCAGTATTTTATGCGTATAGAACATTTCTGACGGCCAAAGCTTGGTTTCAAGAGGGATCATAATAAAAAGACTCAATGAATGTATAATTAAGAATAAGAATTATGAACGTGCCATCTCCAATTAAATGTTTATCTGTCTCTTCTTGAGACCTTTCCAACACCCCGTCCCCGCCTATAGTTTGTTGAACACATCCCTCACGTTTCTAATTTGCGATGAATGTGCAAACACATAAGCACATTTGTCTCAACGGACTCTTATGATTTGTTTGCATTTAACTTTAACACTTTAACACACATCCTTTGCAAGGATTCTAAAATATTGCAATTTTCAAGTGTTTGGAAAACTTATTGACATACAGCAATTGAAAACACTTACAGTAACCATATCAGCTCCAGTGTTCTTAAAATAATTTCGGTTTACTTCAATTGTCGCTCCAAGTCTGCTTTCAAATGCACAGTCAGTTTCGTTTTTCTTTAATTTTGCTACAAATGAAAAGAAAAAACAAAACAAAAACAAAACAAAACACGTAGTAAGTTTTGAATAACACCACCTTGCACATTTTTTTTTACTTCATTAGATTTTCAAAAATTAAACATATCATTTCGGCTTATTTATATTCGACGAGATTTAATAATTGCATTTGATAAACATGCTTAATGGTAACCCTGTTCGTACCGTCAGTATTTTCATAGGTCTATTCAAGGGCAATACCTCTAAAAATACTAAATATATCCACACGAAAATACCCAAGTGCACACCTATACATGCTGATCAACATTTCTGTAAAGTTTCATGACTCTAGTTTAAATACTTTTTGAGCTACATGTGACACAAAATGAGAACGGACGGAAGGACGGATGGATGGACAAGGGTAAATCTAAATGCCCCACCCCACTAAAGCGGGGGCACAATTATGCAACTGATTTGGGAAAACCGGAATCGGAATCGGAAACGCATTTTTTATTCTCAGCGTGACATTGTTGAGATAAATATCAACGTGACAATTATTGACTTAAAATGTTCAAGTATACTTTGATTCTGAAAAATACGGTTTTATATCATATAAGTAAAAACAGAAGAAAAAAACCTAAAATGCGTTGAATTATATTTTCCTGAATTTAGCAGGCTTGCAGCCTAGCAATCTGAAGTTGGCAGCCTAGCAGCCTAAAGAAAAGTACCCGTCTATATTCAATATCGTGATTTTTTTTATGTTGAACTTTATTTTTTTATCATAAATTAGCCACTAACCTGATAAATATTCTAGAAATCATTCCCGCTGTATCCGGTTTGGTACGTTCCGTACGGAATTTATCCTAACCGGAAACTAAAAACCACGTGAGTTTAGAAAAACATTTGCATTTCACTTTTTTTCTCGGCGCCACACTAGGCGGACGGGTTGTTTTTGCTCGCTTTTTATAGTTACATTTATAATTATGCTGTTCACCCTTCGGAGCTAGAAGATGGAGAATTATCGGGTGCAGAAACATCCGCTTCTCAAATTCAAACGAAAAACACGAAGCAACGACGGTCACCTATTGGTGACTTGGAAAAATTGAATTAACAGAAAAATTCGATCGTATGTTCAATCTTTTAAATGAAAAATTGACACAGTCATGTTTCAAATAAGAGCAGTGCAAATGGCTCACAAAATGACAGAAATGATGATGAATTGTCTATTTGTCCTAGAGAAGAAGAACAACAATTTTCCGACGTAGAAAATTCGGAAAATGAATTTGACAATAGTGTTTCCTGTAAACGAACTAATTTATCTGAAAAGAAACGCCATTGTTTGCATGAAATTTTTCAAGATGATGCTTTGTTAAAAAAAACAGAAGAAAAACTGGGCATTGAAATTGAAGATTCTCAGAAGGAAATTTTGTCACAAAGTTATCGAGCCAAAAAGCCAAATGATGTGACAGCATATGCTGAAGATTACAAAGGTATGTTTCCTTCATTACCTGAAAATAAGGATTTTTTGAAAGTTCCTCCTTTAGATGATATTGTTGATGAATGTTTAAAACGTCAACATGGTTCAAAGATGTGGATCTTTTGCTAAGAGGGGTCGTGCTTTATTTTCTCAACCAGACAAAATGGTGGAGAAGACAGCATTTTGTTATCATCGGGCAGTCAATAAGGGTATTATGTTGAACTTGTATATGCATCAAGCATTGGGAATGTTACTAAACATGTTAGAAACTGAAGATATCAGTCAAATTGAAAAGAAAGTAAGAGATATTTTTCTCTTTGTACCAAAAGTTTGGATCAATTAGCATGTGTTGGGGCATTTTTTCATATTATACGTAGACAAGTGACAATGCACGGCACAGGTTTGTTTAAGCTTGATTCCTCTACTGACATTTCCAGTATGCCATTAACAGGTGAAGGAGTTTTAGGTCATGGTCTTGATGATATTTTGAGAGAAAGGAAAGAAGTCAAGAAAACTTTAGATGAACTTCTTCCAGAATCCAAATCAAGGAAGTTTTTAAAACGTAAAAGTGCTTCATCACAGGGTGATTCCTCCACTACTCCTGCTAAAATGATGTGTGATAAACCTGCATCTGGATATAATGGACAAAAATCCAGGGATAATTTTCGTATCCCAAAGATTAATGATCGAAACAAACCAGAAGGAAGTGGCTCTAGATCATTCGAGACTAAATCATACACGTCTAAACAGCCTTACAAGTCAGCAGGCAGAGGAAGAGGTGTTCACACTAAATCCGGAAAACAATGACTCGGTAAGTGTGTTAATGTTGCGTCCAGAGATACCTGTAGGGGGGAGATTAACTCATTTCCTAGACAAATGGAAAGAAATAACAAAAGACAAATGGGTTTTATCTGTGATCGAGAACGGTTACAAACTCGAATTCGATCAAATTCCACCCTTTTTAGGAATAAAAGAAACTTTTGTAAATTCAAAACAAATGGAAATTTTAGAAAAAGAAGTTTCTTCATTATTAAAGAAAAATGCAATCGAAACTGTTCCAAAGAGTTTTTGGAAAAAAGGTTTTTACAGTACGCTATTTTTAGTAACAAAAAAGACAGGAGATTTGCGTCCTGTAATCAATCTAAAACCCCTGAACAGATATCTCAAGAAGCAACATTTCAAAATGGACACTCTGTCAAAAGTGCTAAATCTTGTTCAAAAAGGAGACTGGGCATTCACTCTAGATCTGAAAGATGCTTACTTTCACATTCCGATATTCAAGAAACATCGAAAATTTCTCAGATTTTGCATAAAAGGTCAAGTTTACCAGTTCAAAGCTCTATGTTTTGGCCCAACTGTGTCCCCCAGGGTATTTACAAAAGTAATAGCGGTAATAGCAGAATATCTGAGATCAAAAGCCATTCGTCTAGCAGTATATCTGGACGATTGGTTGTTTCTGAACCAAAAATTAGCAGCAATATTAAAAGATCGAGAATTCACGCTCAGTCTCCTAGTAGAACTTGGGTTCATAGTGAATGTAACAAAGTCACACTTAATTCCAACTCAGGAAATAACATATATAGGGGCGTTTTTCAATCTTATAAAGGGTATGGTGTTTCCAACTCTAGAAAGGTTTCAAAAATTACAGTTGGCAATACAAACTCTGTTTCGGGGTCAAAATACAGCCAGGCAATACTTAGTTATACTAGGGATATTAGCGTCAGTGATAGAACTAGTTCCAAATGCTCGTCTATTCTCAAGACCTATCCAATTACATGTATTAAAACACTGGAGACCTGTATCTATGGCTTTGGATGTCCAAGTCCCTTGTACTCCACAGCTAAAATACCATCTGAAATGGTGGTTACTTCAGAAAAATTTTCTAATGGGCAGGGTCTTGCAGACATTCAAATCCGACATGGAACTAACCACAGACTCGTCGATGACGGGGTGGGGTGCTCATTTAGGCAATCAGGTAGTACAGGGAACTTGGTCGAAGACGATGAGCTTAGAGCACATAAACTTCCTAGAGTTGGAAGCAGTATACCTTGCATTAAAACATTTTCTCCCAGAATTGAAGAGCAAACAAATTTTGATCAGATCAGACAATATGACAGTAATTCATTATCTGAACAAGCAAGGGGGGACGAAGTCGGAAAAATTATGCAATTTAACAAGAAAAATTTGGTTATTAGCTATTCAAAGTCAAATAATTCTCAGAGCAGCTCATTTGAAGGGGGAGTTGAACTATCTAGCAGACTCTCTAAGCAGGAGAGCAATTCAATCATCCGAATGGTCCCTGAATCCATTGATAGTTCAAAAGATTTTTCAGGTATGGGGTCAACCAATGATAGACTTGTTTGCCACAGTACAGAATCGTCAATGTCTGGTATTTTGCTCATGGAAAAATCATCCGAAAGCGTTTGCTCAAGATGCTCTATCAATCAGTTGGGAGAACATGTTTGTGTATGCGTATCCTCCATTTTGCATGATACCAAAAGTTCTGAGTCATATGAACAATTTTCAGTGCGAAATGATTCTGATAGCACCAATGTGGCCACGGCAGCATTGGTACCCGACGTTGTTGAGTATGTTGATTGCATGTCCGATTCAGTTACCAAATCAAGTAGATTTACTTTGTCAGAACAGAGTGAATCATACAAATCCACAGTTTCTGAATCTAACTGCATGGAGACTATCAACAAACAATTCAAAGAGAAAGGTTTTTCAAGCAGCACTAGAAAATTGCTCACGGCATCATGGAGGCATGGTACACGAAAAGATTACACCTGTAAATTTAAAAAATTCAGTAGCTGGTGCAATACAAAACAAATTGATCCCTATAAGGCATCTTTGACGGACTGTGCAAATTTTTTAGCTGATTTATTTGATAATGGTTTGAAATACACAACAATTTCAGGCTATAGGTCAATGTTATCTGCAGTCTTGCCAACAATTGACAAATTTCCTATTGGAAAACATCCTCATGTCATAAGAATGTTGAAAGGAGTTTTTAATAGTAGACCTCCTGAACGTAAATTGATACCTGAATGGAATTTACCTATTGTTTTGCAGATGCTGAAACAGCCCCCATTTGAACCCATGAAGTTAGCCAAGTTGAAATATTTGACATGGAAGACAGTATTTTTAATTGCTATCACAACTTTCAAAAGATGCAGTGATCTTCAAGCTATGCGCATAGGTGAAGGATCTGTCAATATTCAGGAAAAAGGTGTCACTTTTTATAGACATGGTCTTTCTAAGCAAGATAGACAGGGTCATCAAAGTAAGAATATTTTCATTCCAACGTTTAAGGACAATAAATATTTAGATCCTAAGAGAGCTTTGTATTGGTATTTGAAACGCACAGATGATTTACGTAAGGAAACAAATGAGTTGAGTTTATTCTTGACGACAATCAAGCCACATAAACCTGTGTCTGCACAGACTATTTCAAATTGGATAGTGAGTGTTATCAAGAAAGCTTATAAATCTAAAGAATTACTAGAACCAAAAGTGCGGGGACATTCAACTAGGTCAATTGGACCTTCATGGGCTTTGTTTAAAGGGGCAAAGTTGGTGGACGTATTGAACAGTGCAGATTGGTCTCGTGCTTCAACGTTCATAAAGTTTTATCTGAAAGAAGTCTCGTTGGACTGTTTAAAATGTTAAAAAAAAACGGCGAGTTGGTGTATATACTTTAATGAAAGTTTCATTATTTTATCATGTATATAGAATGTGTACATAGGAATTGGACAATAATTGGATATCACAGTTTAGTGAATTACAGAATAGTAAATGTACATTTGTAAAAAGAACTGTTTTATATGGGTTTAAAAGAACTGTTTTATATGGGTTTAAACAGATTAGAGATTTTGTAAAGTCTTTGTTGAAAAACATAATTATAAAAAAAGTTCAACATAGTAAAGACCCACCTCCAGTGCAGACACTGCTTGGGGAATCAGACAGATTCTATAGTATATTTATCAGGTAAGTGGCTAATTTATGATAAAAAAAATTTCAAGCTGTATTCAAATTAAATTATACTTACCTGATAAATATAACAATCCTCCCTCCTCCCCTCTTTATTGTAAAATTAGGTACGCCTAGTTGTGGCGCCTAAAAGTGAAATGCAAATGTTTTGCTAAACTCACGTGGTTTTTAGTTTCCGGTTAGAATAAATTCCGTACGGAACGTACCGTATAGCGAGTTTCCGTCATTCCGGGAATGATTCTATAGTATATTTATCAGGTAAGTATGATTTACTCAAAAAATTACAATTTGAATACAAAATGATAAATATTTTTGTCAACCTGACGCTTGAAACTTTGTGAAGTTAGCAGCCTAGAAGTCTAAAGAAAGTACATGAAAACCGTCGGAAATGAATCGATATCACTTACACAGACCATTTGATGGCTTTGACATTATCATGATCTTCATTTTTTATGTTTAACCCTTTTCTGGCGGATCTTCAAGATTTGTTAAGTTGGAATCCTAACAGCCTAGCAACCTACCAGCCTGGCAGCCTAGCAACCTATCATCTTAAAGAAAACTAAGAATAATACAAACATGATTACTATTGGAAATGCATCTTTGGCACATACTTATACCATTCAGCGTGTTTTTCCCCAATATCGTGATCTTTATTTTTCAAAATGTTGTACTTTTTTATTATGACGCTCCGAAATTGTGAAGTTAGCAGCCTGGCAGTCCAAAGAAAAACTTTGATAATAATGCAAACATGAAAACCATCGTAAATGAATCGGTAGCTTTTACCAAGATCATTCCACGCGTTTTTTCAATATCGTGACTTTTATATTCTAAGATATTGACCTTTATTTTTTGTCATTCTGACGCTTTGAAATATGTGAAGTTAGCAGCCTAGTAGTCTAAAAAAACTAAGGATAGTACAAACATAAAAACCGCCGGAAATGAATCGTAACACTAACTTAGATCATACCACGCCGGTTTTCAATATCGGGATCTTTATTTTTTATACCCCCGCACAACAAAGTCGTAAGGGGTATACTAAAATCAGGTTGTCCGTCCGGCCGCCGGGCTGTCCAGCCGTCCGGCGTCCGTCGGTTTTTCCTTGACCGCCCAATAACTTAAGATTCCTTTGACTAACAGTCTTCATATTTAGCATGGCGGTTAGTCATGATTAGTAGATGACCCCTATTGATTTTGAGGTCACCAGGTCAAAGGTCAAGGTCACAGGGGCCTTGACTTAAAAAAGCTTGTCCCCCAATACTTTAAAAATCTTTTGACCCACAGTCTTCATACTTTGCATGGAGGTTAGTCATGATTAGTAGATGATCCCTATTGCTTTTAGGGGAACCAGCTCTAATGTCAAGGTCACAGTGGTATTGACTTTAAAAAGCTTGTCCACCCAATAACTTAAGATTCCTTTGACCCACAGTCTTCATATTTGGCATGGAGGTTAGACATGATCAGAAGATGACCCCTATTGATTTTGAGGTCACCAGGTCAAAGGTCAAGGTCACAGGGGTCTTGACTAAAAAAGCTTGTCAGCCTTATAACTTAAGAATCCTTTGACCCACAGTCTTTATATTTGGCATGGAGGTTACTTATGATTAGTAGATGACCCCTATTGATTTTGAAGTCACCAGGTCGAAAGTCAAGGTCAAAGGGGCCTTGACTAAAAAAGATTGTCCGCCCAGTAACTTTAGATACCTTTGACCCACAGTCATTATATTTTGCATTGATTTTAGTCATGATTAGTAGATGACCATTGTTAATTTTGAAATCACTGGGTCAAAGGTCAAGGTCACAGGGGCCGTGACTTCAAAAAGCTTGTCCGTCTAATAACGAAAGAATCATTTGACCCATAGTCTTCATATTTAGCATGGAGGTTGCTCATGACCATTTGGGGACCAATGTTGCGTTTGAGGTCACTGGGTTAAAGGTCAAGGTCACTGGGGCCTTAAGTTCAAAAGCATTTTCGCTCAATTGCTTAAGAATGCTTTAGTCAATAGTCTTCATATTTGGTATTGAGGTTGGTAATGACAAGTAGATGACCTCTATTTGTTTTGAGGTCACTTGGTCAAAGGTCAAGGACAAAAGGGTTTTGACTTTAAAGATTTATCCGTCCAATAACTTAATAGTCATTTGACCCAGAGTCTTTATATTTGGCATGGAGGTTGAGCATGACCATTAAGTGACCCCTATTGATTTAGAAGTCAGTGGGTCAAAGGTCAAAGTCACAGGGGCCTTTAGTTAAAAAAGCTTGTCTGTTCAATTGCTCAAGAATGCTTTGGTTAACAGTCTTCATACTTAGTATTGAGGTTGGTTATGACTATCAGATGACCCCTATTGATTTTGAGGTGAATGTGTCAAAGGTCAAAGTTGCAGAGGCTTTTACCGCAATAAGCTTATCTGCTCTAAGAATGCTGTCCACAGTGTATAGATTTTGACATTTTCATATTTGCATATAATTATGTTCTCATATATTCATCATAAAACACCCACAGGCAAAGCCGCATGAATGGGGGTATTCAAGTCATACAGTGGCAGTTTCAGATTTGAGGTCAGTAGGTCAAAGGTAAAGGTCACTGTGACCTTAACCACAAAAAAACATGTAGAATACATAACTTACCAAGGCACTGGCTTACTACCCTTATATTTGGCTGGGGGTTGTCCTTGAGCTCTGAATGACAACTGTTGATTCTGACAAAGTGGTATGCAGAAGTATTCACGCCATAACAGTGGCAGTTCTAGTTTGTAAAGATGTTTAATTTTTTTCATTCTGACGCTTCGAAATTTGTGTAATAAGCATCCTAGCATCCATGGCAGGATAAAGAATACTAAGAATAGTACAAATATGGAAACCGTTGAAAATGAATCGGTAGCGCGTACCAAGGCTATTCCAAGCTTTTTATCATAATCTTTATGTATTAGGATGATGAACTTTAAAATTTAAGAAAAGTTAGAATATTACAAATATGAAAACGTTCGGAAATGCGTAAGTAACCACCTTCCATTCCACGCCTCTTTTCAATATTGTGATTTATTTGAAAAGTAAGCAGTCTAGTAGCCTGGCAGCCTTAAAAAACTAATGATAGTACAAACATGAAAACCGTCGGAATTGAATCGGTAGCACTTCCTCAGACCATTTCACGCTTCTTTTCAATATCATGATCTTTATTTTTTAAGATGTTGAATTTTATTTATTTAGTTATTTATTTATTTTTTTATTTATTTTTTATTATTATTGAAGTTAGCAGTCTAGCAGCCTGGCAGCCTTAAGAAAACTAAAAATATAACGAACATGAAAACCATCAGAAATGATTCAGTAGCACTCCACGCCTCTTGTCAATATAGTGATCTTTATCTTTTTGTATATTATCAACATATGTTTAGAATATGTTTATTACGAGATTTAAAACGAATGGTCAAAATCATCGTTTTCTAAAATTTAAGCTTTTTTTAACATCATGATGATCATTTATTTCAAAAAACTTTTTACAGACTAGCAAATAATACTTCGTGCAAGCGCATCATTCAACGTTGGGCAAATAAGCCTTTTTTAATGGCGTTTGTTGACCGTTTAGAAAATAATGTTTTTGGTGATAGATATGCGAAGGTGAAAAGTAATAAATAGCTTTAAAAATCCAGTAACACAATTTTTTATGGTTTTATATAATAAGTTTGACGCTCAAATTAAGATTTATCAATATTGTAAGTTCCACAAAGCATTATTAATAAAAAATATTACAGAATTTAACATTTCATGTAAAGAAAGGAAGGTAATTTGAAATTTATCTTCTATAAAGTCTAAGTCAAATTTTTCAGTAAGAAATGAATGCATATATTCTAATGAGTACATTTAATGTACACACATATAGACCTTTTTACGACGCGGTCCGTTGCTATGAAAAATCGATCGGAAGAAGTATTTTCCCGCGCATGCGCAATCTGTGTAGGGCAAAAAGCGCATAGAATAATATAAAATATAGAAGAAGTTCATAGACAATTCCGAGTAAGTTTAAGGTAAAAGGTAAAAAATAATATAAATTAGCTTTTAACAAAAATAGAACAGTTTCCTTTATAGCTTTGTGACCAAGATTGCGTTACAAAGGCATGGAAAAGGAAATTGTTAAAGAATTTTCCCTACGGTCACGGACCTGACATTGAGATTTTTTTTAAGAAAATGTGGAATTATATCTATTATTCAAATGAGAGTCAACTAAATTGTTTTTGAAATAGTTCATAAAAAGATAAAAGAAATTTTATAATATGAAATCGAGTTAGCTATCATTATGAAAAAAGTCAGAACAGACACGGTGATAATGCATTTTTAGTGATCAGTTTACCTGATTTTATCCTTTATTTGACTGTGATGCAAAGCAGATATTTTTCAAGTAATATACATGAATATATTTTAAATAGTTTTTTTTTCAAAATCTTTAAGGAAAGTAAAAAAAACACACATTTTATCATGTTTCTCGTAACACCTGTTAACACTAATTGTCACTTCTCAAAATAAAAAATAAAAACTTGATGAGATCGGTATATATTTGCGATTTTCATAATTGTACGTGATTAACTATGTCATGGTACTGAAACGTTCCGGTTGAATGATATTATAGCTGGAAACAAACAAATGCGTCGCGTGTCAATCTGTTTGACACTTACCGCCTGGGCAATCCAAAAGGAAGTGTACAATACACATTGT